AAAAATGCATATACAAAAAAATTAACTCTTTACATTTTTATATTGTTATCATCACCGGTGAGTCTGTCGCTAAAACGGTTCACTCTTCGTGTGACGATAGTCCGAACGCTTGGATTTCAGCACTAAATAAGATAAGGCTTTAACTCCAAGGCAGTTACAATTTGGCCGACTTGTGCACTTGCTAATTTCTTCTTGACCGTCTTTTCCTCTAGGCGCGTCTCAAAATTACAAGTGTCACTCTTACAGTGCAAAAGGTAACGTCGCGTCTTTTCCTTCTTAAAGGCATTTACTTTAATGTAGTGGAGTGGACTTTGTGTACACTTTAAAGAATGTATCTTGTTTATTGTGCAAAGCGAGATAGCATTTATTTTTTTAAAATGTAAGTGTGCAAAAACAAAGAAGCGTTCTGAGAACGAAATTTTAAAATCGCGGAATTTCCACTCCCCCTTCCAAACTATATAAACTACCTATTTATATGCCTTCCTGACGCATGTTTACCTAGTACCTACTATTACCAATTATTATATCATTTCACCATCACCAATACTTATTGTTGCGTGACGTGTCACAATATCGTGTTCCTATCCCGATTGTTCCCACAACAATATTTAAGCAATTGATACTATTTCTTATTTTTTTTTTGTGAAAAAAAAAATGAAAAATATTAATTTGTAATAAAACTATTAATAAAATAGTAGTTGTAATATATTAAAACTAATTTGGTTTCAATATTTTAGACATAATACAAAATACTATATTAAAAATGTTTCAATTATAAAAAAAGTTGTAAGAGCTGATGGTATATCAAAATTAAATCAAAGAGTTTTAACAGCTACTAAATATGTATATAATTTATAAATATATTTAATATATATTTCAATAATAATAATTATTATTTTTAACTAAAGAGTATAGTATTTTTATACATGTTTTTAATATAGTCAAATCTGCTATATTGAAGAATTAAGTAAAAACCCACTATATCAAAGGTAAGTACAAAAACATTTATAACAAATTTAATTTATTATATTGAATTTATTAATTGAATCTTGTTTTATCAAATTTCTTGAAATTTTTGTCTTATGGTTTTAATTTATTTGTTATAGAGAAATTTGATTATATATTGAAAGAATTACAAAGATTTAAATAACAATATTTATATAAAGAAAAAGTGATAGCAATAAATAGCCTGCTGTTCAATTATATAATAGAAATTTTTTCTGCCAATATAATTTCAAGTATAAAGCAAAAAATAGTAGAATATATTGTTAGCGGGGAAATGGTATGGGGTATGGTTACGCAACGTGACCTGGTGCGTTGCGTACTCTGATTTTAGATAGCTGATATGGTAATTGATAGTTTAGTATAGCCTACTTAAGCATGATGTAATTTAAAGAAAAGTCTAATGTAGTTATTGCCATTATTAGTCAGATAGTCTAATTATCAGCCAATAGTTTCTAATAGTATAAGAAGGGATTGAATGACGTGACATGCCAATATAAATAGAAGAACAGAGAGGTAGTATGCAGTACAACGAAAAAAATAAGATCAATACCAAAGAAAAAAAAAAGAATAAAATACTATTTCTAATTAGGGACATGCGATCAACGTTGCCAAAGAGAGTAAAAATATAAATTACTTACCTAATCCAGTACTTGTCACGAGATAGGACGACTGGGACCACAAGAGAGAAAGTGGTAAGACTTATCAAGGAAGCACAAACAATGGAAAGAGAAGGAAAGGTGATTAGTAACAAACTCAACTGAACAAAATCACATGCCTCAAGTAGAGAAAGCCAAAAACCTACCTGACGTTACACGAGTTTCTACTGCCATTAGCGACAGACTCGCCGGGAAAGATGTCAACAATATCTTTTATAATTAGATGGTAACAAATATGAAACAATTAATAAAGATTTTTTAATTTTTTATGATGATATAAAAATTAAATTAAACTATTTTTTAGGTTTCTATAAAGCATATACAACCTGAGATATAGCAAGTTTGCATATATCAATACTAATTTTTTAACTATGCAATTGAAACAATTTGTTTAAGAGATACATAACTTCTCAATAATCCAAAATTTACATGTCGAGAAAGATATTTTAATAAAAATAATTTTTATGATTAAATAAAAAATAAAAGTAGAAATGACAAATATTTTTAAAATAGAAAATAATCTTTTTTGCTAGTTAAATATGAGTTACATAATATAATTATTTTATCAACAGAAGAAGTAATATGTGGTTTATTTCAAAATTTAGCATAAAAAATTATAACTACAATAAAAAAATAAAGAGAAGACAATGAAAAATAAGTTTATATAAAATATTAACATAATTAATTGCAGCAAGATTTACTTATATTGTATATACTTGAAAATTTAATAAAAAAAATCAGAAAAAAATAATAGTTAAATTTTATTAGATGGAACAATTATATTGGTGAATATTTTAATTTAGAAGAAAATAATCATAGTTAACAATAAATTTTTATATTTTAATATATAATAAATTAATTAATATTGTTTAAATTTATTTTTTATTTTTAAAAATATAAACTTATTAATTTGAATTGAATAATTAATATAAAATATAATAACTTAAACCAATATATATAAATATAAATTTAAAAAATTAAATTAAATAATTTTTAACCATAGTTATTAAAAATTTAAATTTAAAATAAAATAATTTAATAAAAATAATATTTATATAAATTGGATTAGTTTTGATTCAATTATAAAAAACTAAATTTAACAGTTTTCAGATCAGATCAGTTTATAAAAAATTAAAACTAATGATTTTCAAATTGAATTGATTTAAAAAAATAAATTGGATCAGCTTTGATTTTAGTTAAAACTAATTAAAACTGAATTATTGTGATTCTTAATACTAATTATAAACTTATTGAAGAGGTTTATATAAAGAAGTATAGGAAAGATTTTTAAAATTTTTGATTAATTTGATTTCTCAAAAGGTTAGTCTGTCTTGTTTAAAATTTCTATTCATTTTAATTGAAAAGATAAAAGATTTTGATAGGCTGATTTGATAAGAGAGATATTTTTTTGTATATTTGTTAGTTTTTCCTAAACTTAATAGTCAAATTCTATAAGAAAGTTAATGTTTTTTATAGAGTTTATTTGATATATTAATATCAAGAGCTAATAAATCTGGTTGTGCTTTCTGATTTGACATAAATGTCAATTGTGAATAACTGTATTGTGGAGATTATTCACTTGCATCATATTGTCTAAGTTATATAGATTATTGGTATTCAATACTAAGTTACCTACTATGCTGACTGCATTTGTGCTATTTATGGCTACAGATGGTGCATTAGATACATATATTTTACTGCTGGTTTTAATTAAAGTAAAGATATTTGTGTTCTATTAATTGTTAAGTAGAGTAAGCTGTTTGGAGTTTTTTTTTTGGAATTTGAGATACAATATTTTTTTAAGACCTAAGAGAGAGTTTGAATTCATAATCTCAGGTTTTTTCTTTTAAACTGGCATATTGGAAGGTGGGTGTGATGGTGTATTGTGTATTTTCTCAAGACCATATTTGTTTCTATTGTTTATTATATTGATTTGATTTCAGAAAAGATGGAAAGTATAATTAAGGTTACTGCTTAGCACCTTTTTTGCAATAATTTTTCTTATGCTTGGGCAAGATTATTCTTCTTCTGTTAGAGGAAAAAAATCATTGAAATTGTTTTGGGTATTGCTTTTTAAATTGTTAATTGTTAGCAAGACTTGTATATGCAAGTGCAAGAAGGAACCAAAGTTGGTTATAAGTTGTTTAAAATTAATAAAAGCTGTATTCACTAGTAAGATGTTGACACTATTTTTTAGATTTTATAAAAGAACAATTCAGAATTTGGGGAATTCAACAAGGGAAGAGATAAAGGAATTTTAAGCCGGTTCAGTAATTTAGATGTTGCTTGAGTTGGTTTCTTTGTAAACTACAAAGAATAAATGATCAGTTGAGTTTATTAATAATACCAATGAATTCACTTACCTTGAATGTATGTTGTATGATACTAATATGTAATTCTATGTGGGCAGTTAAATTAATACAAAAAATGTTAATATATTTTATACTGTTTAAGCTAATAGTTAAATTATTATTCGCGTCACTACCATATAACCCATTATTCTCGCCTGAAATAAATACGTTATAATGAAATAAAAAAAAAATTACAATTTTGAACTTACATTATATATATATATATGTAATAGGGTTACTTCTTTCGCTCACCAAACTACATATTGTCAACATTTCTTTTAATACTTTTAACCTTATTTGTATTTCATAATCAATTGTTTCTTTTACGCTTCTAGTTTAGTAAATATGCACCCACCTTGACCGTTATACTAGAGAAAGAAAATTGGTGAGGGGGGTTGAATTTTAACAAGCCTTTAAACTAAATCATTGAATATACTCAATTCAATTTATTAAGATCATACCAATAAAACTTACATTCAAACAGCATATATCGAATGGTAATAAAAAAATTTGCCATGGAAATCTAAAGGGAAAATGATTTGAGATAAATGTTGAGTATAAAAGGTTGACACAAAATGAGTGCGGAATACACTTAGATATACCCTTTTTCGCGTCACCAACAAAAACATCATTCTATTTTCTTTCAACATTTAAATTTCTTGTAAATACAGTTGCCATATTAATGTAAAAATAATAAACTGTCTGTTTTTGTCGTAAGAAAAATCGCCTGCACAGGCAACATGTAAGTGCGGTAAGAATACTGCACGAGTAACGCATGGAGAACATATTTCTAAGTCCTAAAATAGTAACTTAAACCCTGCTGGTGGAAGTAGTATAAACAGACAAATTTAGGCAAAGAAATTTTTTCTTGACATGCTCTGGTTAATAGGCTGATGACTGGTTTTGCTGCCAATGTCTAGTAGCATAAAACTATGGCATTTCCTAAAGTCGACTCAATTTTACCGCCAATGTCTGATCGCATAAAACTATGGCGTCTCTTAGATTCTTAGGAAAGAACCTCACCTCCAGTACCTGACCGCATGAAGAGCTTCAACAAAGTTAACTCATAATTTTATGCAATGTTTGATCGCATAAAACTATAGCGTCTCCTATATTCTTAGGGAAGAACCTCACCAAAGAATGGGTCAAACCAAACCCACATACCATGGAACAAATTGAATATTCAAACCGCCAGTGCCTGGCCGCACGAAGAACTTCAGTAAAGTTAACTCATTATTTATGCAATATCTGACCGCATAAAACTATGGCATCTCCTATATTCTTAGGAAAGAACCTCACCGCCAGTGCCTGGCCGCATGAAGAACTTCAGCAAAGTTAACTCATCATTTTAAGCGACATCTCATCGCATAAAACTATGGCGTCTCCTAAGATTTTAAGATTCTAAGGGAAGAATCTCACCGCCAGTGCCTGGCCGCATGAAGAACTTCAGCAAAGTTAACTCATAATTTTATGTGACATCCCATCGCATAAAACTATGGCATCCTAAGATTTTAAGATTCTAAGGGAAGAACATCACCGCCAGTGCCTGGCCGCATGAAGAACTTCAGCAAAGTTAACTCATAATTTTA